AGAGAGAGAGAGAGAGAGAGAGAGAGAGGAAAGATCCGTTTACTCCAAGAGTAAGTTTACCTAGATTTACTCTGTTCAATAACACATGTTATACACCAAATTTCAAAGATACAATCATTGAATTTAAAGTTTTTAATTAATCCATAGATCAAAGTTGTAAATTTTAAAAAATTTAAAAACCGTTTGATGCTTCATTTCATTAATTCAAATTAATGTATAAAATGATTTTATGATTATCCGTTAATTTGAATTAATGAAATGAAGTATCAAATAATTTTTAAATTTTTTAAAAATTTGCATATTTGATTTATGCATTAAGAACTTTAAATTCAACAGTTTGATTGTTCAAATTTGATGTAGAATATGAGTTATTGAACATAGTAAGTCTAGGTAAACTTAGTCTTGGAGTAAACGGATCTCTCCTCATATATATATATATATTACTCTTAAAAGATATGTTGGTGGTCTTAGAATAGTTGATTTGAGTCTAACTCAAATACACCCCCTTATGCCCATGGTGGATGTATCTATGATAAGTGATACATTTAGAGTGAATCTAGATAACTTTGATACCATCTTAGAATAATAGATTTAAGTCTAATTCAATCCTACAAACCCGACTTGTAAGGTAAGGATTACTCTCTATTTATATATTCTTTAATTGTCTTATCTCTAATTGATGTAGAACTTGAGTTTTTTCCAATAGTAAAAAAAAATTAATATATGATAATATAAAAAAATGGACACTAAAGAGAGATTTCCCTCTATATAGTATAGATATCGTACACGTACCTTATCACTCACAAATTTGTTTCTCGACAATTACTATGCCAATCTTTATCTCATCATATATTAACAATAAATAAATCCCCTCTTAAGAAAGTATTTAAATATATATAAACCATTGTTTTCATATTAACATTCGGATATTCATCCAACAATCCTTATTTGGAAGCAATGGTTTCTCAACGCAGAATAACATACCATATAAACATGTACCGGATACGCCAATCGATCATACCGTTTGACACCCTCGATTGCCGAGAACTGTACCGGATAGGTTGTTCGGCCATACCGTATGGCACCCTCGGTTGCCGAGAACGATGCACCTGAATAGGGCATTTAGGTATGTCCTCGTAGATCGTAGTTATACCTTTTGATTACTCGGCCAATTGTAGGGGTGTGCAAAAAAT